CATGCGGTTAGTATTTAGTGAATTGAAATTTAAGCGTTTTTTGATTGTTAGTAGTTGTAAGAGTTGTTTGGGAGATTGAGTATAGGGTGGGGTAGTAGTGTGGACTTTGTATTATTATTTTTATTTTATTTTGTTTTGTTTTATTTTGAGAACTTTGTAGTTTCAAATTTTTGGTGTGACTGCTTTGTATTCGTTTTTTATTTTGTCATCTTTATGTTTTTGTATTACTTATTTTTCTTTTTATTTTTTCTCCATCCCTAATACTCATCTCCATCTTTTCGAAAGTTCTTTTTACAATAGTTCTGTGCAAACATAAATTTACTTATGGTGGAATGAACGGGTCATTCTCTGTAGGCTCCCCTGATTCCTCGGTAGAGGCGGCGGTCTTCAGGCTGGTAATCCAGGGCACTGTGCAGGGCCCTGTTTTCTATGGCCTCCGTTCTCTCCAGGGTAGCCTGAGTTGCCTTCTCGATGTAGTCAGTCATGGAGAGAATTCCCAGTTCCTCTCTAATCTGCATGTTTCTCACATACCATGGCGCTTTAGTGATGATTTTTAGGAATCTATTTTGTTGGACCTCCAGTTTTTTCTTATGGCATCGGGCGGCCGTTGACCATGCTGCGCATGCGTAGGTGGCTATGGGTCTTAGTACTGCAGTCCAGATTAATCTTTTATTTTTTAGTGACAGGCCGGGGTTGTTGTATAAGGGCCTTAGAGAGTAGCTGACCCGTTTGAGTTTGGTGATGGTCTTCTCAATGTGTATTCCCCATGTTAGTTTGTCATCCATGTGTACACCCAGATATTTTGCAGTTTTAGTCCATGGTATGGCCTGGTTTTCGTACCTAAGTTCCCCCGGCAAGGTTCCTCCCTTCTTAAATAGTATGGCCTGGGTTTTATGTGGGTTTATTCGGACTCGGTACCTGTCCGCCCAGGACTTCATTCGGTTCAGCGCTTTTTGGAGTTTGTTCTGGATCATCTGCATGCTGGAGCTTTTGTATATAAGTGCGGTGTCGTCCGCATACAGCGCCATCTGAACTCCTGGGGTGCGGGGCAGATCAGTCATAAAAAGGTTAAACAGCGTCGGGCCCAGCACTGATCCCTGCGGCACCCCTGCTCCTATGGGGTGAACTTGAGAGGCCGCACCGTTGTACTTGGTGTGAAACGAGCGGTTTTTCAAGTAGGAGGCAATTATCTTTACCATGGGAGGTGAGATTTCCATGTTTATCATCTTAACCAGAAGACCTACATGCCAGACCTTATCAAAGGCTTTGCTAAGGTCCAGCAGCACCAAACCCGTCCTCTGCCTAAAGTCAAAACCATGGGTAATAATTTCTGCGATTCTTGCCACCTGGAGCTCTGTAGAGAGTTGGGCTCTAAAACCGAATTGCTCGTCGGGAAGTAGGTTTTTATCTGAGGATTCTTCTTCAAGCCTTATCTTAATTACCTTCTCCATTAGCTTTGCGAGTGTGGAGAGCAGAGATATTGGTCGGTAATTTTCTGGAAGTTGCATACCCTTAGCCGACTTGGGAATCATTATCACTTGGGCTTTTTTCCAGACATCTGGGAAGTGACATTTGTTAAGGGCGCCGTTTATTAAGGTTGTTATATTGTGAATCATCACTGGCGGGAGGTGTTTCAGGGCTAGGTTGGAGGTGTTGTCTTCTCCTGGAGATACTTTGTTTCTAAGGCCAGCGATGATGCCCTTTATTAGTTCTGGGGTGGCTGGGGTGATGGATTCCTCGTGAGCCTCTTCTAGGAACTCATCTACAAATTCCTTCATGAGCTGGTCTTCGCGTTCATGTTTTGGCAGTGGGGGATGGTCGGTGAATTGGGCTTCCAGGTGGTCCGCAAAACATTCAGTTTTTTCCTCATTAGAGAATAGTAACCCATCTGGGCCTTGAAGAGGGGTGTTATTTGTCACTTTTGTGTTTTTTAGCGCAGCTACTATTCTCCATACTTCGTTATTTTTGTTTGGGTCCAGGTTAGTAAGTGTTTCCTCCCATTTTTGATTTCTGAAGTTCTCTAGAGCCCTCTTCACTCTTCCGGCAAGCACATTGTATGCTCTTCTGTCTGCTGGGTTCAGAGAGCGTTCAGCTTGCTTTTTGGCATTTCTTTTCTGGGTTATAAGAGTTTTAATGTCTGGGGGGATGACGTAGGGGCACAGAACTGGGACTACTCTTTTGTGGGTAGCAGTATCCAGGGCTTGGGAGATACTTTCAGAGATGTCGGTGGCCATTCTGTCTATTTCCACTTGAGAGTTGGGGGGCGATAGAATAGGGGCGGAAAGGGCAAGTAGACGATTGAAGGTGGCCCAGTTGGTTTTCTTTAGGGTTTTCATAGCAGAGTTTCTTTGCAGGGGGCCCAGATGAATGAGGACCGGACTATGGTCGGATGTAGTGCCCGTGAGGGTTTTTGCCGTATAGTTTTGGGAGAAATTTTTTAATAGGGCAATGTCTAGAACGTCAGGGTGGTGGTCAGCTCTGGAGTAAGTTGGGTCCACCGGGCCTAAGGTGTCCCAATCCGAGTCTCCTGCTAGTTTGAAGAGTTTTTTGCCATTGGGATTTGTCAAGTTGCTATTCCACGATGGATGCTTGGCATTAAAATCGCCAGCGAAAAGAGTAGGGAGGTTTTCTGAGAGGGCGTTGGAGAATTCGGCCTCTGGGAAGGGGTGGCCAGGGGGAAAATAGCCTACCAGGATTTTCAAACGATTTTCAAAAGAGGTTTCCACATAGATGCCCAGGGTCTCAAGAGTTTGGTTTGTTGATTCAATACAGGCACAGTGGGAAATGCCTAGTTTTTGCAGGATCATAACTCCGCCCCCGCCGTCCCTCGTGGCTCTCGGTAGGTTATACACCTTGTAGCCTGCAAATTTTGGGTGTTGGTCGTGTGTTATCCTGGTTTCTGTGAGTAGAACAGTGTCTGGCTTGTTTTCTTCGATGAGGGCCTCAAGTTCAAGTTTCCTTTTGCGTAATGAGTTTATGTTCCAAAGTAGGATGTCTAAACTGGCGGCTCTTTTTGTTGTTGCCATTTAACAGGGCTGTTGGTTGAGCGACTTAGATAGAGACAGGATTGCTTGGTCCTGGGAGCTCATTCTGGCATCAATTTTAGACGTGAGGCCACTTATGGATTGAATGAGCGTCGCCATTAGTATTGACAGGTTGGATTCCAGGGGTTGACTTGAGGCGGCCTGGAGGGGCTGGTGTCCAATCGTGGCTTGGCTGTAGGTTCTGCCAGATTCGTGGGGCAGAGAGGGCCTATTCGTATTGGTTTGTGGGGCAACTTGCGATGTTTGAGCTGGGGTTGGAATTTTACTGTTTGGATTTTTTGCACACACAGGTGCATTTGCCGTGTGTGCGCCCCCACAGTTCGCGCATTTGGGGGTGGTTGTCTTAGGCTTTGTGCATTCCCAAGTGGGATGTTCTCCTGCACATTTGACACACTTGTGAGCCGCAGTGCACTTTGTTTGTGCATGCCCGAACTTTTGGCATCTAAAACACTGAGTAATGTTAGATTTTCTTTCGAGTGGTTCGACCTTAATCCTCAATCTACAAAGATATGCCATATTGAAAATTTTGTCCTCGTCCAGGGGCAACTTGACCAGGATAAGCGGCATTTCGGTCTTGTCCTGACCCCTTTTCATCCTGGTGACTATTAGCGGATGGTAGCCGTGATTAATGAGGTCCTGTTTAATTTCGTCGATCTTTAGTTCTAGGGGGAGCCCTCTTATAACCACCTGTATGGATCTTTCCTCAGGGAGCATAAATGAATGGAATTCTTCCTTGTTATTTTTTAAGAATCTTGAAATGCTACGGTAGTCATCCATCGTGCAGGGGAAGAACTTTATGCCGTCTTGAATATTGGTTGCTTTAGAAAAGTTCCAGCCCTTGTTGGTGAGTTCAGTAGACACCATGTTCCATCGTGATTTTTTCCTCAATACGATGGGGGGTACTTTGGGCACCAGCGGTGGTAGGGGGGTGTTTGAGGTCTGAGAGGCAGCTACTGGAGAGGCTGGGGGGACATATCCGTGTAAAACAGGCTGGGCTTCTGGTTGAGTAGTGTTTTTGTCTTTTTGTGGGATTTTAGATTCCGCCGGAGTGATTTCTGGCTGATAGGGCGTGAGGTTGGACTGAGACGCTTGGGAATTAATCAGGTCTTGAAAGGGGGGGACATATTCATGGGAGTGATGGCTGGATACCTCTGGGGCATCATTATTTTGTGGAGGCTCATAATTAGTGTCCATGGTTACGCTTACATTTGCATCGTCAATTTGTGCTGTTTCTTTGTGGGCCGTGTTAATTTCTGTAGGAGCAGGAGGGGGCAGGATGGGTGATTCAGCTACCAAGTCAACTCTTTTTCTCTTGGTTGATGGTTCCGGAGAGAGCGACTGGCCTGTTGTTTCAGTTTTGTTTTTATTATTTTCTGCCATGTTCTTATTTAGTAGTTCCAGCTGTTGCTGAAGGGCAGTGATTTGGGCCGACTGGTTGGAGAGTTGGGTAGTTAGGTTCTCAACCATAGCCATAAGTCTGTCGTTTTCATGCTTTAATCTTTGCATTTCGTAGTTTTCCTGCTTTTTCAGGTTTTCTTGGGATATAGCGTCAGCTTTTGTAGGATTTGGGTGTAGTAGTTTGTTGATGGTAGCCTTAATGGTTGGAGAGATGCTATTTTTGCTTTTTTCTGGGGATTTTTCGTCAGCAAAGGACATGACGACCTTATTTCTCTCTTTTGGTTTCCTGTCTTTTGAGTGTTCTCGTGATTTGGATTTTGGGAGTTTTTTGTGGCCCTTGGTAGGGGTTCGTCCTATTTTCAGAGATTTATTAAAACCCTGGGCTTCAGGGTCTTTGTCAGTGGTTATTGGGGGTTTATTAGGGTCTATATTTTCCATTTTAATGAGAAAGCACTTGAAAGTTGCTCAGGAGCAATAGTTGCACCTAATGGTTTAGACGGAAACGTGCACAAGGTATATATAGAGAGGGCGTGGCCTGGTTGAAAATTGGCTCGGCCAATGAGCGGGTTAGAAAAGTGGGCGTGGTCTCGAGTTTACTATAAATATAAAAATCGGTCTTCGACCGTAGCAAACCCTTCGCAGCGGCCGAAGGCTGCACAACTTGGATTTTGGTCAAACAACAGCACTTATGTGTATGCGTGTGGTATTTGACAGAGTAAAATATGACAAAACAGAATAAATAGGCAATAAACGTAGAATAAAAATGTAAATGGACAGGGACAGACATTTATCACTAACCTTGTGCACTGTTGGACAAAATAAATAACAATGTATAAACAAAATCACGGAGTAAAAACAAAAAACGATGCATAAAGGGGGACCGACGCCTACTCAGTTCAGCGTCGGTGTATCCAATCTGCTCGAGTACGCACAATACAATGATATGATATGATATGATATGATATGAGTGCCGCTGCTCTTGAGCTCGGCACAGCATAGTTCAAACAGCGCGGACGGAGGACTGAACGCCGCGTCATAAATTTTCAATATCCCGTTGGGTGCAACTTTTAATCCTCAAAATAACTTGTGTATAAACAGTGCCTAAAGCGTCAATATGACAAGTGTGCCAATAAATTTTGACAAATTGTTCCCCAATAAAAACATTGTCCCTGTAATTTACAATTTCGGGGAGAAATCTAACGAACACTCCGCTATGGAGAACGATCAAAACCCACACATAAAAGACACAAACGAAACGAATCAAGCATTCGCGAAATCAAACCTGGTACCCAGGTCCCCGACTAAGGAGAAACCTCTTCTCAGCAACACAAAAAAAAAAAGCCAAATCCAAAGAACAAGACAAAGAAAAAAAAGAAAAAAAGGAAAAGGAAAAGGAAAAGGAAAAAGACAGATCGAGAAGAAAAACATTAAATGACATCCCTAGCACAACTAACAAAGTTGTGGAGAATGAAGTTGCTAGGATAAACTCCAAAATAAACCAAAACAATGCTGCCCATAGCTCAGGTTTTGATATAAAAAAGTGCTTGCTAGAGCGAGAAAATGAAAAACTAGCAAAAGACAACGAAAGGTTAACTAAGCTGGTTGAAACTCTATCTGCGCAAATAAGCGCGCAATCCGCCCAAATTGAAAATCTCCAACTTCAAATGGAGAAGTTAGTAGATTCACTCTCAAAGCCTGCCCCCCAAAGCGTGGAAACGCAGGATAACCCCCCAAACATAGATGCTGACAGCCCAAAAAGGAAAAAGGCCAAAAAAACAAATGATTGTGACAAATCTATGGAAACAGACATAGACAACTCACAACCACTGGAATACCAAGGGCCAACAAAGCAAATAGCAACAACATCCAGCTATACCCCCCCTATAAACTCAGATGTCCCGACGGCGCCTCAGCCACAGTTAAATCAATTAAACACAGCCTCACCGAAAACTGACTTTCCGTCACTACCACCCTCAAGTTATTCTCCACCGACGCAGCAAGATGTTATCAATCCAGTGCCAGCAACACAGGCAGAAACTCCAAAGCAAAAGGAAAAAATTCCTCCCATAGTATTACGCCAAAAAAAAAGGTGGTTAACTGTCTCCAAAGAGTTTGATAGAAATGGATGGAAATTTAACAAAGCCACAAATATAGGGGATGGAATCAAATTTCAACCCGCGGACATCAGCTCGTACAGGAAAATATCGGCCTTCCTGACAGCTAATAAGGAAGAATTCCACACGTATTATCTTCCGGAAGAAAGACTTATCCAGATCGTAATCAGGGGCCTGCCCTTGGAGATTCCAATTACAGAGGTGAACTTGGAACTCTGTAATCTAGGCCTAACTCCAGAAACTATAGTTCGAATGAAAAAAGGAGCAGAACGAACAGAAATGCCCTTAATTCTGGTCAAACTTGAGAAATCCAAAACTAAAATATTTGAACTTGAGTTCCTCTGCAACATGAGGGTAAAAATAGAGGCGCTCAGGAGAAACGCAAGCATTGGTCAGTGCTATAGGTGTCAGCGGTTCGGCCATGCCCAGTCAAAGTGCACTGCGGCCCACCGATGTCTGAAATGCGCAGGGCCCCACGACACAAGAGAGTGCAATCTGCAACCAAAATCAACCCAGACAAAATGCGCAAACTGCTCAGGAAACCACACGGCAAATGCGCCAATATGCCCGAAAAATCCGAATGCAGCCAGAAAAACAAACCAACAAAACCAACAACTGCCTTCAAGCCATAGAAGCCAGGGTGTCACCTATAGCCAAAAGGTCACCGGCCAATTACAATCGGCCACAACAACGCAGGCTCAGCCGGACATCAATTTAGTTCTCCAGACGCTGTCAACGGTACTCACTAGGCTAGCAAACCAGGAAGAGATACTAACCCAACTAATAAAGGTAAACAACACCCAGCAAAGTCAACAAAATCCCACAAAGCTCTATGGATAACGCCGCAAACTTAGTGCAACCACGCCATGGCTCCTATAAATCCAAAGGGTTAAAAGCAATTAACTGGAACGCAAATAGTCTCAGGAAAAGAAAGGTGGAACTGGAGCTAATGATTACGGAAAATAACCCAGATATTATTGCGATCACGGAGACGAGACTTAAAAAAAAGGACAAGTTTAAACTAGCAGGGTACCTTACATACAGCTTCCCGAGAACCTCAGAAGATGGGGGCGGGGGCACGATGCTACTGGTTAGAAGAACGATATCCCACTCGATGGTCCCTATGCCAAACATGCAGCGACTTGAGGTAGGCGCAATCTACGTAGATTCGGACTTTGCAGGGAGAATCAAAGTCTTGGTAGGATACCTGCCTCCCGGACACGTTTTTCCAGAGCAAGAGTTCGTAACAGCAATGGCTGAAGACCTCCCCACATTAATGATGGGGGACTTTAACTCATTAAATCCTGAATGGAACAGTCATTCCACTAACACAAATGGACGCAAGCTTTCCGCTCTTGCGGAATCCAGGAACTGGGACATTTACGGCCCAGTGGAACCCACCCACCAAAGACCGGGTGACTACCGGCCAAATGTACTAGACATAGTGATAACAAAAAACTACCATCATCACATCAGCTCTGACACAAAAATAAGTACCTCCTCAGACCACAACCCGGTAATTCACGAAATTGGCCCGTATAGACCCAGTACGAACACAGTAACAATAAAAAGCACGAACTGGCAGCTCTTTAAAGAAATACTGACGCAAGAACAGAAACAATTCCCAAGAACACGCAGATCAGGAGAAATTGACACCCAGGCTCAGGACATCACCCAAATAATAAAGTCTGCATTGGAAAAAGCCACCGTATCCAAAGAAATAAAGCCCAACTGTCCATACCGCATCCCACAGGAATTAGTTCCTCTTATAGCAGAAAAACGCAGGGCCAAAAAAAGAGCGCAGAGAACGATGGACCCGGAAGACAGAAGGACGTATAATAGACTGGCGTGGGAGGTAAAAAAGGAATTGGTTGCACACAAAAACAACAAATGGCAGGACAGATTAGAAAGCCTTGACACTGGAGACCGCAATATGTGGAGAATCATCAAGGCCCTTAAAGTTGAAGACGTAAAGCAAGTCTACCCTATTGAGACGCCAAATGGCCTACTATTCTCCAATGACGAAAAAGCAGAACATTTCTCCAACCACCTTGAACTGCAATTTTCCCAGAACGACAGCAGCCCAGAAAACGCCGACATGGACACGAGATGCGTAGTAAGATTTCTAAATGCTACGTCACAAACCGAAGGTACTCCAACGACTACGGAGGAAATTAGACAGGTCATAAACGGCCTAAAACAGCGAGTGGCCCCAGGCGAGGACTCCATTACTAATAAAGCACTGAAGCAACTGCCTAACAATATCCTAGAAAATCTATGCACAATCTTCAATAATGCCCTGTCCAGAAACCATTTCCCGGAAACCTGGAAATCAGCCACAGTGGTGATGCTGCCAAAAGGCAGAAATAAACTCTCTGCGGATGGATATAGACCAATCTCACTACTTCCGTCCCTGGCAAAGCTCTTCGAGCGTATCATCAAAGAACGTCTGAACGATGAGATCATGGACGGAAACATCCTTCCTGAAGAACAGTACGGCTTCAGATCCCACCTGTCCACGGAACTTCAGGTAGCCAGGATAGCGGAGCACATCACACATGGCTTCGACTTGAAACTAAAGACAGGCATGGCGCTACTGGATATATGTAAAGCATTTGACAAAGTCTGGCATATGGGATTAATATATAAAATGATCCAACAAAATATCCAGCCAGCTCTGATCAGACTCACGGCGTCATACCTCTCTGGGCGTAAATTCCAAGTGAAATTTCAGGACTCGGTGTCAAGAGCGAGACCGATAACTGCAGGCGTCCCACAGGGCTCGGTCCTTGGACCGACGCTCTTCAATCTTTTCACGACAGACATACCACGCACCCCGGGGGTGGAAATCGCCCTATATGCGGACGACACTGCGCTGTACGTCACTAGTCGCAATGTTGGGAGAATAAAGGCCAAACTACAGCTTGCCTTAGAAGCGGTGGAGAACTGGGCTCTGGAATGGAAAATAAAGATAAATCCACTGAAAACCCAAGCCATAATCTTCCAGAGAGGATCAGGAATACTCCCGGAACCGCTAACACTGGAAGAAGAGAATATCAGATGGGAAAACACAGCTAAATACCTCGGTGTCACTCTGGACGCAAAGCTCACCTGGGGACCCCACATAAAAGAAACCAGCCAAAAGATCAGAGCTATGATGGGAGCATTAAGACCTATGTACGCCCCAGGATCCCATCTGAGTTTAAAAAATAAAATTGTAATGTGGAAAACAATCATGAGGCCGGTAGCGACCTATGCCTGTGCAGCCTGGAGCACAGCAGCTGCAATACACAGGAAAAAGCTGGAGGTGCTGCAAAATAAATACCTTCGAGCCATAACATCAGCGCCATGGTATGTTAGAAACTACAACATCAGAAAAGACCTAAAAATCCCCTCCCTGGATGATTTTGTCAAAGCAAACACCAGGGCGCTACTAAATAGGGCGGAAAACATTGAAAATCAGACTCTGAGAAGTGCGTTAGACTATAACCCGGAAACCAGAAGGTTATACAAAGGAATACGTGGCACCCTCCCACCTGAGCCAAACTAAAGACCGCAACGACTGAGAGAGAGACTCAAAAGGCACCTCGAGTGCCAGAAATAAGAAATCACACGAAATAGAACAGAAATAGACCGAAAACAAAAGCTACAGAAATAACATGAAATCTTTAGAACTTAGAACAACAGGCAATCAACAAAACAAACCTTGTGGTGGTGACACTATTACAACCAAATCAAAATATAAATGCTCTTGCTGTTGAATACAAATTCTCAAAGCGAAATCGAAATCCCATTTTAAATTTCATTATCAATAGAGCTACTAAAGCCAATTTTTTCCTATAAGTATAATTAACTTAAATAATTTAACTAAACATACCGTTTTTAAATAGTGTCACCAAATGTCGTTGTATCTTCAAATGTTACAACATTAGTTCACATTTATTACATTCAAACTCTAAAAGCTAACTCTAAATTCCTAAAGCTAACTAAAAATTCTATTTCAAAAATGTGTCCAAAGTCTCCTCTACTTAATTGCTAATCAAAACCTCTAGTCTGACTTTAATGTAAAGTAATTAAAAATAACAACCATGTAACAAGTGTGTATGTATGTATGCTTGTGTTTCTGCAGACGTAGGGGGCATGTGTCTTCTTATAGACACCCTGTCCCCTATCCCCTGCTAGACTATATGCATTTAGGCCGCTGGCGGCCCAAACTTACCTACCAGACCTCTCCATACATCCGTGCTGTGAAGCGCAGTCCCTCAATCTAAAACAGTTTTTCAAATTTTTTCCTCTAATGAGTTAGGGCAAAAGGTCCGTCTGACCTGACCCTTGCTCGGGCAAACCGCCCAGCACTATTTAGGCCACAAATCATCAATCATCAAACGGTCCTCAGTCGCTGCTTGCACCTGATTGGCCACACATCGTGGCTAATCAGAGCACGACTGAGGTCCGCTCGGCTATAAAAGAAACGACGCGAGTCGTTTCAAATCAGTCTCGATCGAGCTTTCATCGAGTAAGCTACCAGTCCTCCTGGTAACTAAGTGGCAAACCGTCAACTTGAACTTACCTACTGTTTTTATTCATCGACCTGAACCCAGCCAGCAGTTCCTGCCCAAGCCCTGGTAAACAGGCACAATTTGTTCTTGTCAGAACAAACCAGCGTCGAAGACCGAGGCAGTCACCAGGTGATCCGCCGAAGCGATCCTGTCCAAGTCCTGAGTGTAGGCACCAATAGTTCTTGTTAGGACTACAACGTTGAAGAAGACGTCCAGAGCCCCAGGTCCCTGTCATCGGCAGTGGCCGTTTGGTCAGCATCCGGACGTCACAGCTTCCAGCGGGGCCGATCCCTGGCCCCCATTAGGGCCGCTTCCAGGCCAGCGAGTGGGCCGTTCCCAGGCCAGCGAGTGGGCCGTTCCCAGGCCGGCATCAGGGCCGATCCCAGGTCATCCGCAGGGCCGATCCCAGGCCTGCT